CAGCCTGTGTTTTCTTCTAGCAGTTTTAGCCTTTCTGCCTCCCTTTGAGGTCTTTGATCCATCTAGAGTTGATTGTTGTGGTTGTTGTTGTTTTTGGTTTTTCGAGACAGGGTTTCTTTGTGTAGCTTTGGAGCCTGTCCTGGAACTCACTCTGTAGACCAGGCTGGCCTCAAACTCACAGAGATCCACCTGCCTCTGCCTCCCAAGTGCTGGGGTTACAGGTGTGTGCCACTACCACCTGGCCAAAGCAAGTGTTTGCCAAAACCCAGGTTTGAACCAGGGACCTTTAGATCTTTAGTCTAATGCTCTCCCAACTGAGCTATTTCAGCTGTTATTTTTAAGGTTGTATTTTAAAGTACATTTATCCCTTCCCTTTCCATATACCCCTTCTCATTCTTCTTTGAATTCATGGCCTCTTCTTCCATCAATTGTTATTGCATGCATGTTTGTATATATAATATTGTGTGTGTGTGTGTGTGTGTGTGTGTGTGTGTGTGTGTGTGTGTGTGTGTGTACATACATATACAATATATGTATTGTAAATACTGGTGGCTCCAGTTATTCTGCTGCAAAAGTAACCTGGCATTATGGTTACAGATGTGGAATTCTAATCACAGAAGGCCTTACTGTTCACTATGAGAATACATAATGGGCATAGCATTATTGCGTATAGAGTCAGCTTCCTTTCCCCCCTTTCCTAGATAAAGGTGAACTTTTGTTCTTTTAGAAATATACATATATAATACATATATATGTAATACATATATATATATGTATACATTATATATATAATACATATATATGAGTCCATATAATGTCACTTGTATGTTTTCTGAATAGACTGTTAAGCACTAGACCACCAATCGGTATGCTCTTCCTTGAGGAGGGCCACCTCTTTACTCAGTCACCTGTAGTTCTTTGTGTAAAGTTGATTACTGTACTTCTAGCTTACTTTTCTTCTGCTACTACAGTCCCCCGATGGTGTTATACAATGAATATCCAGGATGGAGAAGCCACATGCTACTCACCAAGGGGAGGAAATTATCACAGCAGCCTAGGCACACGTTGTGAGCTCTCCTGTGACCGGGGCTTTCGACTGATTGGACGGAGGTCTGTGCAATGCTTGCCAAGCCGGCGTTGGTCTGGAACTGCCTACTGCAGGCGTAAGTTGTATGGGAGCATATACTGATGTGTGTGTGAGAAAGAAGGCAACCTGCTGGCCATGGAAGGTATATACCTGGAAGTTTTACTCTGTGAAAGTTGGGAATTTTCCATGGGCCTCCAACAGAGCTTTTCCTCTTCCTGACATTGTAGTTTATTTTTCTCTGTATGTGATTACTGTCCAAGTAATATGGGTATTTAAGTCACAGCCAGCCAATATGACTCATAGCACCCAGAAATGTGTGTAGGAGGACAAGACTTGGCCATGAGGAACTGATGTAGGCCTGGGCCACCTCTTAGAGCTTCCAAGGATGTGTTCCAGACTCTCCCACTTGTGGTCAAGTGTCATCCTTCCTTGCCTACAGCCTTAGAAGGTCTTGCCAGTAAAGCTAATGAGACATCTGCTAGTCATCATTTTCTTGTTAAAGTAGGAAGAATCCCCAATGCAATAATATGGGATAGAAACACATAACCCAAATTTTATCTCCCTTCACCTCCCAAACCCCTACCTCTTATTCAAACTCTTCAGCCCTTTGGCAGCAGAGATTTGGCTTTCATGTGTGATGAAAAATACCATTTGAAGGACATCCATTTGCACAAGGCTCTACACTGACTTCTTCAGGAGATCACTCAGCTCAACTACCCTTCAGTTGTTAATAGGCTAATGGGATAGAAACCTAAATGTGTGCACATGCACGTTGCACACCTGGATGCAGATGTGCTAAGCATTCAGAGATAAATGAGCTTGGTGAGAAAAGAAGCTATGAAGGAGAGGAGAAGGTGGATTGACAGAAAGAAGTCACTACAACCCTTCAGGTGATGATAAGTAAGTTGCTTTAGGACTTAAACTCTGTCATTTCCAAAATGAATTTGAATTGAACAGACAAAACAGATAAAAGAGTATAAATTATAAACATAAAGCTAGTCAAAAGCATAGAAATATGCCCATTTCCAGGTGCCTAGAATGAGGTGGCTTTTGCAGTTGAGTCCAGTATTTAGCTTTGACCTTCCTCGAGGTTGAATCTACTGTTTTCACTGTCATATAATACTAAGTGAATTCATCTGAAGAGACAAGTCTTTCTGATTTCTGGTTCTGATTTCAAGGAGGTCATTTTCATGTAATTTTTTTACATAACAAATAGAGGAAAACAGTAAAGCAATAATCTTCAAGCTTAGTTTATTCAAGAAGCAAAAATGAACAGAGCCCATATAGAATTTTTCTAGAACGTTTTAACGTTCAAACTTTATGCAAGGTTATAACATAGAGGAAGCTAAAGAAATGTGTATGGCTTACGTCTCTCAAGTATCAGGTGTCCCCAAGAAAACTAATGACAACTATTCTCTGCTAACAGCCTTTAAAGTACACAGATTCCACCTTTATTAAATATCACCATGCCCTCCAGACAGTGGCCTGACTCACGTGGACAGAAAGCCAGCTGACTGTAAGGGAGCCTTGGCTGAACTGTGTGTACAGCCAATAGCTTTGAACATGCTTTAGGGCATATAGCATTTGAAGAAGACACGGCATCTAAGGAATGAGAAACAAAAATTAACCATTGCCAATGCTTTCCCTAAATTGTCCTGTGAGGTAAATATATTTTACAGATAAAAACCAGTGAGGCTCAGAGAAATGAGGCCACACCTCTAAGTCACAGAGCGAGAGGTGAAGTTAGTATGCAAATCGGGGTCTTATTTTGATAATCATGCACTCAGACAACTAGTTTACTTTCTTCAGACCCCACTATCCATCCAACTAAGATTGCTTCTTTACTTGGTAAGATCAAAATAAAAAGCCAAATTGAAGGAAAGGCAGTTCCATAGAAAAAGTTAAGAGCAGCCTGGGTGAGTTTTCTATAGTCTCTGTTGAATATGACAACGATCCTCCTATGGTAGATGCTCATGCATCACCTCCAGATAGTAGTACCACAGGGTGCTGAACTTACTGTTCATTTCTCTTAGAGATGAGATGCCATGCACTGCCATTCATCACTAGCGGCACCTACACCTGCACAAACGGGGTGCTGCTTGATTCCCGCTGTGACTACAGCTGTTCCAGTGGCTACCACCTAGAAGGTGATCGCAGCCGCATCTGCATGGAAGATGGACGATGGAGTGGAGGAGAGCCTGTATGTGTAGGTAAATGCTGGCAGCTCCAGTTATTCTGCTGCAAAAAAGGGACCTGGCGTTACGCTCACAGATGATGTGGAATTCTGATCACAGAATTCATATACCTTGAGTATGAGAATACACAATGGGCATAGCATTGTGTATGGCATTGCCTATAGAGCCAGGCTCCTTTCCCCTCTTTCTTAGATAAAGGTGAACTTTTGTTCTTTTACCTACCAGTGGTGTGTAATATTGCTTCCACCAGGGAAGGCAGGGGATCTATAAATCCACACTTGATCTTTGACCTTGGCAGACATAGATCCACCCAAGATCCGTTGTCCTCATTCCCGTGAGAAGATGGCAGAGCCAGAGAAATTAACTGCTCGGGTATACTGGGACCCACCCTTGGTGAAAGATTCTGCTGATGGTACCATCACCAGGTGAGCTTGTATAGTGAATGCCTCACGTGTCCCCAGCAAGTCCCCCTGGGATACTCACAGTCTGACCATACAGGCTGTGCCTGAAGTGATGATGTGCCTCAGATCTCAATTCTACCCATCTTTCCCTGAGGAGCTAAGTAACTCCTTCATCCTGTGTCATGTAGGGTGACACTTCGGGGCCCAGAGCCTGGTTCTCACTTCCCTGAAGGAGAGCATGTGATTCGTTACACTGCCTATGACCGAGCCTACAATCGGGCCAGCTGCAAGTTCATTGTGAAAGTACAAGGTCAGAAAAAGCTCTTTATTGGACACACTGTTCAACTTCCTGCTCTGCCCTGACCTTTAGAAACCCACAACCTCTTCCTCTTGTTTGTATTGGGAGGTGCACAGGAGAATGGCCAACTTCGTCAAACAGACTTATTACGAAAACCCATACTACGTGGGCATAAAATTGTCGCAGAAGCCTTGACTCTCCAATAAGACTCTATCGCTCTTCTAAATCTAGATAAAATTCATAGATAGTCTATATCCATTTCTTTTCTTGGCCTTAAAAATGATCAAATTTGATGAGTCTTTGTACCCATTCACCTCTGCCAAAATGATAATGTTGGTAGCTTGGTGTTTTCCTCTTTGCTTCATGTCACACTGCTTCACTTTGCCTTTCTTATCATTAAAATAATTCATGCTCATAATTAAATATTTTAAAATAAAGAAACAACCAGGTATAGTAGCACATTCCTGTAATCCCAGCACATAAGGCAGAAACAAGAGGATAGCAAGTTCAAACTCAGCCTGGGAGTACATAGCAGGACGCTGTCTCAAAAAAATTAAATTAATACCTAAACAGAAAAATTTATCATCTCTATCTCCAGGGGATCATTGTTGATAATTTTCTAGTACCTTCCTTCTAATTTTTTCTCTATACATACTTACAACATATCATTTAAGATCACCCTTTCCACTTTTCATTAAAACACAAGCCCTGTGCGGTGGTGGTGCATCCCTGCACTCGGAGGCAGAACCAGGCAGATCTCTGTGAGTTTGAGGAAAGCCTGATCTACAAAGGGAGATCCAGGACAGGCACTAAAACTACACAGAGAAACCCTGTCTTGAAAAAAACAAAACACACACACACACACACACACACACACACACACACACACACACACACGAAATTTCCCCATATTCTTTAATATTGTGTTGATAAATATTTTCAATCACAACATAAGACTGTCTGTATCATGATGGGTTGAAATATCTCTCCATCGTGGACTCATCTGACTCATATGCTATTAGCAGAAAGTCTGACCAAGTGTGGGGGCACATACCTGTAATTATAGCACTTAGGATGCTTGGGTAGAATGGCAGTGAGTTTGGAACTTCCTGGGCTCCACAGAGAAGCCATTCCAGCCTGTGCTATATTGATTGTGAGAGCAGGTTTCAAGAGAAAATAAAAACAGGCATTCTACAAGTTGATCATCTTTATACTGGTTATCTATAAAAGTCTACAAATATAGACATTTTCTTTTATACATTTACAGTCACCCCATGACTATACGTGTGTGTGTGTGTGTGTGTGTGTGTGTGTGTGTGTGTGTGTGTGTTCCTAAAGACTAGAAACCTGTGTTTGCATTTCAAATTTAATTCCTTAGGGAAGGAAACTGTACCTCCAGCTACTGGAAACATAGAAAAGCCATTCATTCAGATTATCTCAAGTCTCTTGCTCTAGAAAACCCAGAGAGGGCCCCTTAGCCTTTCCTGACTATAACAGATAGCACAACCTCTAACCTGAGCTTCTCCCTGGCAGTGAGACGCTGTCCAGTTCTGAAACCACCCCAGCACGGCTACCTCACCTGCACCTCCGCAGGGGACAACTATGGTGCCACCTGTGAATACCACTGTGACGGTGGTTATGAACGCCAGGGCACCCCATCCCGAGTCTGCCAATCAAGTCGACAGTGGTCAGGATCACCACCTCTCTGTACTCGTGAGTGAAACTATGAAATGAGTCAACAGACCTGTGGCTCAGGGGCACTTAGGAAGAACTTCTTCCATGGTCCAGAGGTGTGATATCAATGTGTGTGATATGAGAATGGAGATTCTGACCTGGGTCTGTTTTAAGGGCCAACATTCTCCCAGAGAATTCACCTCAGGGAAGAGAGGGCAAGGATGTAAAAGACCAGAATGCCTTGCAGGGTGAAGAAGGGCATGTTCTGACTGACCATCTGCTTCTGCCCTAGCTATGAAGATTAATGTCAATGTCAACTCAGCTGCTGGCCTCCTGGATCAGTTCTTTGAGAAACAGCGACTCCTCATAGTCTCAGCTCCTGATCCCTCCAATCGATACTACAAAATGCAGATCTCCATGCTGCAGGTGAGACCTACTCCCCCAGGACAACCTAGTTAAAAAGCTTACTCTGTGCAGCACAAAACCTATGCATTCCTACTTTTGTGGGTAGTATTTTGTGGGAGCCCGTTCTGGGGTTCCTCGTGGCTTTACCCAGCAGGTCCGAATAGAGGATGATCAGGACCACGGGCCTGAGTGCAGGTGTCTGAGATGGCCTGCACTTGGCTGTGCTGGGGGAGGAGGTCTTTTGCTCCACCCCTTGGCGTCTCTATAAAAACCCTGGACCAGAGATAGTC